TCCCTAAAGCTAATATGTCTTTTTTCTCTGCAGCACGATCTTAAGAAATATGTTTAGTTTAAGCAACCCTATATAGATACCGAAAAGTGTGTATCCATGTGCTGTATAGCCTTTCTCTGTATAATGGCAGATTGAGTATTTCAGATATTTTGTAATGGATCTGGATATTCTCAAAGAATGTTTCTAACCTTTATTAAATTTTGATTGAAAAAAAAAAAAAGCCACGAGTGCACTTAGTAGTATTTGTTGATAAGCATGCAAGCTTATCAAGCCTGGATTTTACTATTTTTATTCTTTTCTTTCTTTTCTCTGTAGAGTATGTAAATCAACCAGAAAACAATCTTCCACCCAACAAAAACCTACGACTACCAGGATCTACACTAGAAAAGCAAAAAAGGCACATGGGCAAAAACGGGCTTCTCAAGGAACCAAAGAATGCATTCTATATGAGTTTCACCAGTGCAGTGGAAAATCCAGAGTACCTGACACCATGCAGTGTCCCTGCATCTAGCCCTTTACCACAAGCTTTTGACAACCTTTATTATTGGAACCAAGAAAATCCTAAGCGTAATCCAGCAGAATTCTTTGCCACCTCCATTGTTCCTTCTGCTGCTACCAATGGCTTTCCTTCAACCCCAACAGCAGAGAACCTGGAGTATTTAGGGCTGTCAGAATCAGTCACTTGTTCCAAGGACTTTCCATAAAAACTATTTCTCATGACCAATCAAATTGACTTTTACAATCACGACACCTCAGGATACAAACCCAGTGAATTACCCATGCATGAACATGATTAAAGCCTTAACGATCCTTTTAAAGCCCAATGGGGTTGTTTCTCTCATATCTCCTAGCTCTTGAGGAAAGAAGATAGTGGGATCTACTGCAATAGAATAGCATGGTGCTTTTTTTTTTTTTTTTTTTACTCCCTCTTATTTAATATTGGCAGTAGCAAGATTTTCCCTCTGCTACTACCCTAAGATGTGCTGTTAAAAGTTTTGGGGTCCAAGTATGGATTTTTGTTTGGAAGAATTACAAGTTTTGGTCAATATAGTACAGTAATCAAACATACTAGTTGGCTCAGAATTCTGCAACACTATTTCCATTACCCCAAGAATCAGATGACGGACACAGGTTTAAATAAAAAGAGGTTAAAAATCCTGCAAACTTGAAGTCTGCCCATTTCTGGGCTGTAAGGCGCTACATCCGTGACATTCCTCTGATTCAAGCAGCTCAGCTGCCATTTGGGTACTTCAGCAGAATGGAGTGCTCTTTTCTTCTCACCATACCTGTAGTCCCTGCTTTTGATGTCTTGGGATTCAAGATAAGAGGGTCTGACTACTAGAAGAGGCTGGAAAACGACAAGTTGGAATTATAATACATTAAGAAGAGCGAAAACATTCTTACTGGAGTTTGGACTGACAGGAAGAGTGGAAAATAAGGGCAAAGCATTATTTTGGGAAATTTTATTATCGCTTAAACAGATATTCTTCAACCCTAGGATGGGAATAATATACCAGATAAGAACAAAATAATTTATGTTTTTTCAACAAGATATTTTAGAACAAAGACTTTTGCTTAGTGACGTATTTGTTTTGCCGAAGTTTCTAGAAGAGGCAGTTGAGGAACCAAAACTAAACTATGTGATGCTAATTCAGAAAGGGAATGTTTGGATTGGAAAGTAATTGATATTATATGATCTTTGACATGCCACTTCTTAGCTTCTACCAAGCATGCTGACAAAAAGCATCTAACATATTGCTTCAGTTAGAGACAATACTAGAAGGAAGTTTCTTCATAGGTTCAATATGTCTCCTTTAACAGCGCTTTTGAAATATTTGTTTCTTAAGTAAGTGAAAGCTGTACATGTAGTATATGAAAGGGCAGACTGATAGTGCCAAATATAGATTTCTAAGAACCTTGCTTTTAAGAATGAGTCCAGCATTGATGGAGGCAAATGTATGTTTGAAATGCATAGATATAGATATGTTTTCTAAATCAGGGGTCGCCAATCTTTTGGATCCCAGGGCCAACTACTTTTAAATCCTGAGGACCACTAATATGATTTTTTTTTAAAAAAGGCAATATATTTAATATAATTGTGGGTAAATTTTTGATACTCAAGAAACGCCTCTTACTTTCTCTCATGCACTCAAGGCTACAAAAAATGTGCAAAATAGAGTACAGTATTACTCAGTGTAATTTATGAAGCAACATAAAGGAACTTTTTCATTAAGCACAGATTAAGGGGTGCTTAATTTTTTACTCTCTGAAAGAACTAATCTGTAATCAGTCTACATTTATGCCAGCAGTGGTCCTCTTAAAGTTGATTTGTTACTTTCCAGGTTGTACTTCTTCTAATTGAAGTCTTTCTTCAATGAATTAATTCTTAATTATTACTATTATGTTAAAATGCTGTATATAAAAATAATTGATGTCTCTTAAGTGAACTTAGTGACATGTAACTAAATGAATCCCAAGACCGTTTTTCTGTGGTATGTTGGAATGGAAGAGTACCATGTCTGAAAAGCACTAGACTGGGGAAGGTTCCTGTAAGTCAGTATCTCCCATTCCATGTGTCATGATTGTAGGTCTATTATATACTGCTAAAATTCATTTTGTTTAGTTGCAACCTTCACTTAGGCAAAACACACTCAGAAAGCAACAATTTGCTGAATCTATGTACCTCAAATGTGCTAACTTACAGAATGCATCCCAAATCTGGGACCCATGACTCCCATGGGACTGAAATTTGGCAATTTTGTGCCCATTTCAATGCTGCCATGCCACCTTATACTGCTGCAGTTAATTGCAGTCACATGATTTTAATTTACTATATTCCCTGCCAGCTTCCTACAAGGAAAGTCAGTGGGGAAGTTGACATGAAGTCAAGAATTAATCGCACTCCATTGCTTTTTTTACCTACCAGTGGCCATTCTTTTTCTGTTTATTTAATAAGGAAATATCTCTGAAACAGTGACTCAGTAGGTCGCGGATTGTGGAGAACTTTTTCTAAAACCATTCTGAATAAATACTGTGATTATAACTACCGTAATTCTATTTCTTCCTCTCTTTTTGAATCAAATTTGAAAAGTGGGGTAATGAAATGGAGATGCTAACATTAGTGCACTGTTTTCTGATGTCTTTACATGAAATAGAACAAGAGAATTTAAAACTTTACCAGGGCTTCCTAACACTGACAAAAAAAGTAACCACTTTCAATATGTACATACAAAGAACAAGTCTGAGGATCTGGAGAAATGCCTTTTGTTTTGATATTTAAATATCTGAAATGGCTGTGTATGTCAGTAATTCTGAAAGTTGCAGATGGTGGCAGCAGGTTAGCTAAAGATCCTTGAAGAGCAAAGGGATGTAGTGTGATTGGTACAGCTTGTTCATTGTAAATAAAGAATGTCTTGGAATTGAATACCATTTACAAAAACTATAGAAAACAGTAAGAAACAAATCAATACAATAGAATTATATTGTGTATGTAGCTGTTGTAAAGAATGATTTGTTTACTATTTTTGAAGTTCACTGTACTTGCATATTCTCCTGTTTCCATTAAAACCTGTGTTTTCCAGCTGGTGCTAAGTTAAATCAGTGAGAGGTATCAGCTGTCAGTACTATTTTTAAAAAAAGAAAAATGTGGTTTAAGTATTTGTATATCTGAGAAATGTATAATATAGTTTTCATTTTCTATAATATTTGTGTTGAAGCTTTTTTATTGTTATTGTCCCTTAAACTGACATTTCTATAACTGCTCAATCCCACATATATAGGGTCAGAAATAATCTCTAGAGAAAGTCTACCCTTTTGGCAGAATTTAGATGCTTTTGACAGCAGAAAAATGGGACCATGATTCCTTTTGCCCAGGTCACTGAGATTTCTGTTTTAGGAATTACATAAATTTATACAAAAATTTATATATTATACAAAAAAATCCTATTTCAGGATGGAAAGAGCAAAACAATTGAGTCTGAGATAATACAACATAGTACTCTTGAATTAATAATTACATCTTAGAAAAATTCTAGGTCAATAGCTAACCTAGCTGTTTTCCCCTACTAGATTTTGGGCCACTCTCAGCCTGACTCACCTCAAAAGATCCCTTTCCCCAGGCAGAGATATTAGTGTAGCAGATTTCCAAATTTTTTAAAAAAAAGGGGGGGGGGGGGGAAGGAGAAAGGCCAATAAAAGATGAAAGGCTAATGACGTTGAGGAACAGTAAAAAGGAGACTTTGTATCTTTTAAGAAAAAAGTTATAGGGTGGCTGACCTCTCTTCACTTAACCTTTGCACTGGTTCTATTCATTGGCCATTTTAGTAATTAAAAATTGCCTATAGGAACAAGGCATGGATGCTGTAGTACAGACATAAATCATTCCAATTCTTTGGCCAGAACTTAAGGCCAGATGTCAATATTGCATATCCATGTAAGTGTTCATATAAGTCTTACTTTAGCCTGGCTTTTTTTTCTTCCCTTCATGCATGTTCAAGATGGAAGCTGGACTTTTGAACATGTGGAAAATACTTTTTTTTAGAGTGAGACTGTTAGCACAAGGAACTCTTCCTTTCCTTGGTCAGTTATGGCACCTAGCCACTTTCTTTAGAACAACTCCCTGTCTTTCTTTCTCCTTATATCTCTTGTACGCTACCAGTGAAAGGAACTCTTCACTGGGTTGATCCAGTGAGATTTTTTGCAACCAATGAACAGAAGCAAATACAGGCAATCTTGTTTCATGCTCAAAGCAAACCCCTGCAATTGAGACTGTCTACTTTTAATAGGAAAGAAAAACTTTTAAAAAATCAAACCATTTTAATTTAATGTTTAAATTTTCTTCATTCTAAATTGCAAAATTTTAAATCCTACCCCATATCATGCCTTGCAAACAGCAATCTTATTTTTTCAAGCTATTCCCCAAAAGTGAAAAGCTCTAATTAATTAAGAGAATCACATAGACAATATATTGCAAGCATTTTAGCATTTTCTCCTTTATTATAAATTGCACTAAATAGAGGCTCATCAACAATTTCAACATATAAATTAAGACTCTGGAAGCAGGAAGATTATTGGTGCCTTTCACCGTCTGGCCCCAGCAAAGGGGCCAACAAGCAGCAGCATTTTCAATTACTTCTTAGAATTACTCACTGATAGATCCAAGATGAAAACTGGATTATTAGAATCAAGTCTTGAAACAAAATAGAGGCATCACAGTACAGTGAAAATGACAGTAAAGTAAAAACTAAAGAAAATTATATTGCTCATTCCTATGAAATAAGCTGTGAAACATGCAGTTACAGGGTTGATAACTTATGTTCTGATTTCAATATTTGCCATACGTACTGATGAGAATACTATGACAATAAGTTCATGTCGTGAAATCTGTATTACTAGTATAATAGATATAGATCTACAATTTAATCAAAAGAAAGACTGTTTGCAAGTAAACACTTCAAGTTAGACAGGTACATACTCTGATCCAAATGAAACTCTTAAAAGTCTCATGATTGCAATGGAAGAGTTAGGCTTATAACTTACTGTTGAAATAATTAAACTACAAAAATACTTATTGGGAGGGGGTAAAAAGTTCAAGAAGTCTAGTTTTTAACAAGACAATTGAGCTGTAAATATAAGTCACCCATAAAATAATTTTTAAATGTCCTACTATGAATTACTTTCGATTTTATACTTGTTCTCAGAAAAAACTAATTCAGAACATAAGCATCAAAGAACTACTTTCTTTGTCAACAAATCATGCCGTTTGGGGATATCTTAGAAGGATGATCATTTGCAAAAGTTCAGCGCAGTGTAGAAAAGAAATGAGTATCTAAATATTCCCCTCTCACGTGTAGCAACATTGTCCTGGTTAACTCGATTGAATTTCACGTAAAATTAGGGAAACTCTAAACCTAAGATAAATCAGTGGAGTAGGGGAGCAAAAGAATTGTGATTAATTCTCATTCATGTAGTGTGGTGTGTAGGATGTTTTTCATTCTGAAGCACTCCTTTAGCAACAATGACCCCCAAAATGTTGCTTTAAAATATGTGGTCCTTGAAAACATTTGCTGTAGTATCAATTGTCCCTATACAGGACTATTGGGAAGACTTCTTATCAAGCTTCACTCTGAACCTGCAGATCTCATAGTGAAGTCAGGTTGTGGCACCAGCTCATTCTAAATCCCTGGAAAGGAGCAGGAAAATGGCCAGAAGTTGTGGCTTTAAAGGCAGAGAAGCTAAAAGATCTTAGATGTTCTAAGACATCTAAGACAAGGTTTTACTCCTGTTCATTCAGATGGGATTAAAAACAAATACAACATGAAAGATCCATGCTAGCATCTCAAAAAATAGAAAAATGAATTACATTAAACTGTCCTCAAGAAAAAAAGATTACTTTATTGAATAAGCCCTGTTAAATGAACCCCCCCCCCCAAATATGGCTTAAGTTCTAGTTCTAGCTTATTTTACTTGTTTGTAAACAACCAAAATTATTTTAATGTCTATCCTGATCAGGTATTAAACTATTGATTGAATTAATACCAGAAGGAAAAGTTGGAAGCAAAAGTTGGAAGTAAAAGTTGGAAGCAAAAATTGGAAGCAAAAGTGACAAGGATTCAGGGAGGGTGGGCAAGTAGAGAACATGGAGTAAATGTAAAAAATACACTAAAGAATGACACAAGGTGGCCGGCTCTTGGTGATTTTCTCAAGTGGCTCTCCATTGCTAGCCCTCCGAATGGCTTCAATGAGCTAAAGAGACAAAATGGAGAAAATAAACTCTGTAATTTTCCACCCCATTTTCAATAGACTGAGTGAAAAAGAATAAATTGTCAAAACGCCGTCAATCAAGGAAGGAAAACTAAATCTCTTGTACATAATTTCTTTCCCCATGAACCTTGAAAGTGAAGGATTTTTAACTCCCGTGTTGTGTGAACACATTTTCACTTCTACAAGGGATTTCCCTTTTCCTCCTCCCTGAAGTGTTCCGTCCCCACTATTCTACAATATTATCATCTCTCTGGAACAGGTTTGAAGGAAAATGGAGGCTACTGGAAGAAGAGAGATACTTTTTTTCTATCACACCTATAACAACTATTCTATTCTAACTATAGGATAGGCTAACTAGATCTAGCCTACAACTGTATGTTTTATGAGGAAGTGAGAAATATTATTAGAATAATGCTCCCATTTTATCTGGATGAGAACATGAATTAAGAATACAATTTTATTCCTGGCATGTCTACACAGTATTTTTTCAAATAAAGTCAAGGATGACTATAACTTCTAAAGCAAATATCAACATCATTTTCAGCATCTAACCATTCCTCTACTTTTTAATTAAAACTAGTCAAATCCTACAATATGTTGCTGAGCTCATCTCTGAAACCCTACATGAGAACAATTGGACCATTACCTTAGATATTTAAGCTTTCTTCCAAAATAATATTTTGAGGAATAGCAGGAAAAAATAAGAACTCACGTCTTTCTCATAAGGGAATCCTCCATTCTCAAGTTTGGAGAAGATCAATTGTCCATTTATTTCTATTTCAAAGGCACCTTTAAAAAATATGTTGCATTATAAGCAGTTCAGTTCATATTAATTCATCCAGAATCAAAAACCTGCTTGTGTCACCTATCTCAAAAATAAACCTATAAAGTGACAGTAAGATTTCATACTCATACCTATACATCTGTATATACATCTGTACTTGGATGTGGACAATCCATGTGAAAGTCCAAATATTAGAAGACAACTCATCTCCTTGTAGCACTAAATTTTTACTGGGTATACAGTAAAGGTCAACTTTTCAAAAGCACCTGGACTTCTTTAATTATTCACCAGGTATTTCTTAATAATATACAGATAAACTCAGCAGATAAACTGAACTCAATCTGAGGGGTATATTTTAGGACCTAAGACTCTCATCTTACCCATGAAAATATACAGTATATAGAGATTTCAATAGGTGACCTAGCAAACGGGGGCAAAAATATTAATTTTTCTTTCCCTACTACTATCTCTTGTTCTCATTTTAATTTATATGAGTATGAACTTTGTTCTCTTAAACTCTTAGGACTGATCATAGGCTAGTTCCCTAATTCCAAGGGGTACAACCAGCCCATACTGGTGATCTTCTAATGTACAGGTTTATTATGCAGACATTAATTTCATAGACATAGTATCTTCATTCCATCATATAAATGAGATCTTTCTAATTGCTGCTGCTTATTAGCATACAGACACTAACTTGTACCTGTGCCCCCAAGACGGGATTCGATCTCCACATCGGGGTACTCTTCTTTTACAGCACTTGCCAGTTCCAGGTAGGCAGATTCAAAGCCACAGGGCTTGCTAAAAAGAGAAATTAAGTGTTGGTGTAAAGTTTAAGTTGAAGATAGGGTAAGATCTTCAGTAAAAAAGGCAGTAAAGTGAAAGTTGGGTGGAGGCAATAAAATATTTGATTTTTACATATGCACTACCTGCTTATTTTGAAAATAGTACTAAAACATGGTTCACACGAGACTGAAGAATTCACAAAGAGTAAATGTCTTTATTGTGCATCATCTTTCTGTGGAACGAGGGGCTGCATTCCAACATTTTGCAAATATTACCAAAAGAAAAATATCCACATTTTTACATAAAATACAGTAACTCATGCTATTATTCTGCTTTCCAGGCATGCTTCTGTCATTAAACTCTGAACCATGCAGGGCAAACTAGTTCTTTGGCTTCTAAGCTTGATAAAATACAGATAGGCTAAATAAACCTTGAGCACACAAACATTCTCCCAACATCAAGGAGCCAAACTAAACCCCTCTGTTATTTGCCCTTACAGTAAGATTTGGTTTGTGGAGACCCCAGGAAGGCATGTTATTCTGTCCCTTATGATCTGTAAAAATTCACGTCAAGGCGGTTATATCATAAAGTTTATGACATAAACCAGGCTAGCCAGGGAATTCTGGGAGTAAGTTCCCGAGCCTTAAAAGTTGCCGTTTTATTTATTTATTTTTTCAAGTAATTATAAGATAACAGGTATAAGTATAAACATAGTTATGAATACATGAAATGGATACATATAAGAAAAATAAAAAGAATCAATTGGACAGGGACGGTAGGCACGTTGGTGCGCTTATGCACACCCCCTACAGACCTCTTAGGAAAGGGGTGAGGTCAATAGTAGACAGTCTAAGGTTAAAGTTTGTGGGGTTAGGGGAAGAAACCACAGAGTCAGGTAGAGTATTCCAGACATTGACCACTCTGTTGCTGAAGTCGTATTTCCTGCAATCAAGTTTGGTGCAGTTAACCTTGAGTTTGTATCTATTGTGTGCTCTTGTGTTGTTATGGTTGAAGCTGAAGTATTCATTGACAGGTAGGACACTGCAATGTATGATTTTATATATATTATACTTAGATCGGACCGAAGGCGGCGTAGTTCTAGGTTGTCTAGGTCTAGAATTTCAAGTCTGGGAAACTTCCGTTTCTGTAGAATTTCTGTTGGGAAACGCTGCTATAAAGCAACCGCATTGGCCCAAGAACAAAGAAATTAAGACGCAAACACGGAGGAAAGAAAAGGCGACTCTCTACCTCCCTGCCTTAACAGCGCAACTTTGAAGGGGAGCCAGGCAGCGAAATCAAGAAGCATGAGAGAAAAGAGCAACCAGCTTTCGCAGCCTCCATGGATGGGCGGGATTACCCTCTGCCGAGGCGTGGCCTTCCCCCCACAGGCGCCGCCCTCCGGCTCTCTTTCGCTCACCAGTATTCCACGACGATATGAATCCCTCTTCCGGTAACGGGCGGGACCTCCGTAGTCGGCTCTCCTGACCCATCGCTCATCATGCCAACCGCTAGCGAGTCCACGGAACCTACCCAACAGCCTTCCCGTCTCAGTTCGGGCCGAAGTTTCAAAAACCAAGGTTGACTTCCTGTGGGTTGCTACCTCATCCCAGGCAAGAAAACCTACTTCCGGCTTATGTGGGCCTTCAGAGGCCTTGCTGGGTCACGTGAAGCGGGCCTCTAACGGGCCTTTCGTTTCCTCCAATCTTCTGCCACACCGCCGAGAGTTTGAGCTCCCCCTGCTGATAGCTAGCATAATCGTTAATGCAGAACTCTATCCATTCCCTTTAAGTCAGCTGTATCCTCTGTGCAGTTCTCCGGGTCGCTACCATGGAAACACTGCAAGGGAGCAGTTCCATTCTGATGGTTACTCAGCCTTAAGAGTTTCGTGGCCAGTTTCTCTATTGGTGACATGCTAAGTCTCTGCTGTCAAAGAGCCCTTCCTTTCAAATAACCTTCAGGCACCATGCCCTGGATAATGCAAAATACAAATGCAAACTTTCTATCTGTATCAACCATCTTGCCTTCAAGAACTCATAAGATCCTAGGGAATCGGTATCATTGGATTTGCATTTTCACAATCTGGACATGTCCTTGCTTCCAAATCTGGTGATGAGCTGGGGCAATTATTGTTGGAGAAAATAAACTTTTGAGGCAGGTTTCTGCTAAGTAGATATTGCAAAGAGGAATCTAATTGTGGGCTCCTTGGTAGTCTTTGACCATGAGGTTTTCCTGCAGATGTTTCGTTACTAAACTAGGTAACATCATCAGTGCTGGAAAGGAATGGGGAATGGAGATTGCTTTTATGTTTAAATACTAGTGTTCTGGTGTTGGTGGGAATGTTCTTGGAGGTTCCTTGATTAGCTGTTTACTGTTTATCTGCATTGATAGTTCTTTGATTGGGGTATTGTTTTCTTGATTGTTGACTTAGTGTTAATCTTGGTGTTAATCTCTGCTCCTCTGAGTGTTGATTTCTGGTGAGGTATTTTGATATTTTTGTTTCCTTCTTATTTTAACAGCACATCCGTGAACATCAAGCAGCAGTCAAAAGACATAATGAAAACTCCTTACTTTCATAACAAATGGACAGACTCAACCATAATCTCAACTATAAAACTGTAAGTATCCTAGATCAAGCCAAGTCCCGAAGTCTCAGAGAATTCCTGAAGCCAGGCATTCAGACAAATCGGCCATCAACTTACATGTAGAGATAAATAACATCAACATTTTCTTAAAAGAGAAAATTAAAAAGGCCAAAGGGAAACAAAAATATCCTATACATTTGCTTCCCTTTCCATCTGGGTGAAAATATAGTATAATCCTATACATTCCAGATTTTGGCCAACTTCACAAATCTTGAGTGGCAGTGGCTTTGGGAACCTGTAGTTTAAAACTTCAGGAAGGCACCAGATTGTTTCTAATATAACAGCTTTATTTTTCTCAATATGGCTAGACGAACAAGAGAAAAAATGTTGAACAATCCTCTAACATTTTGATTTTAAAAATAACAGCAATTCAAGTTGTAAATAAAGCATTATGGAAAACATAATTCTTAAAATTATAATCAGCTCCAAAAACCTACTTAACACTGTGAAAGCTGCACACTTTTTACCTCCAAATATGGAGTGGTAATAAAGAAATGGGCATTTTATCTGAAATATGATGCTCGAAACAACTGTTTCTTATATCAAAGCAAATTTGCATAGATTTGCATAGGTGTGCAAATACTATCTAGTACTTTTATCTAATACTACCTTTTGAAAAACTGCAATATTACCACTTCAGGCATTCTCTTTCTTGGCTCTTGAATGATTTTGCTTCCTTGATTTATTGGTGCAAGATTTTATTCTTGGTGTTCTGCTACTTATATTATATTTTTAAAAAGTTATAATTTTTTTAAAAAAATACGTTAATATCTTGTAGGTCACGTTAGAAATTTTGGGGGGAAAAGTGACATAATATATTTCAAAATATACATCTTTACTTACAAATAAGGAGTTTTTCTGTGTACAGGATGAATTAAATCCTACAGCTGGGTTGAACTAAGCAAGGTCAGACCTGGATAATATTAATAGCAGGTTTGATGAAGTGATTAAAGTATCCTACTAAAAATTGAGAGACTGATTTCTAATCCAACCTTAGATACGATTTCAGCTGGGTGACCTTGAGCTGGTCATTTCTCTTAGCCTGAGGAGGAAAGCAAACCACTTTTGAAAAATCTTGCCAAGAAAAGTGCAGAAGTGCAGCCCATACAGTCTGTGAGAATTGGACACAATTGGAAGGGGAAAAAAAAACCGTATAAGTAAGTCCTTGAGGTTTAATAGAATGTATTTTTATATAAATATGAATGTAATCATGTTTTTTTCAGTGTATGGATATATAATCTGTAAATCATGCAGATATGAGTATATTATATAAATACAAAATTGAAACAATTGTCTTGATCTATACCAAGTCCATAATTCCCCCTTCTTTTTTATTTTAAGCTATCTTGCCAAAGGCTAAAATTAATGCATTGATTGATTATGTGTCATCAAGTCATATATAAATGAATTAGATTTCTAAATTTTAGCTATTTTAGTTAGGTAAATTGGAATAAGGTAAAACTGTTGATTTTAGGGGCCACATTTTGGAATTGAGGATAGGGAACCTAATATATTTTGGTTCTAGCAGAATGCTGTCTTTCCCTGTGGATGTGTGAACATCTTTCCCTTTCACTGAGAAAGAACAAAATTCAGTTATACTTTTTGCAAGAACTAAATCTCCCAGAGGTAAAAAAGAGACACAACAGATTTTTCCTTGTTAAATGTTTATATGTTAAGACCCGATTAGAAATTCAAGAATGCACAGAAGCTCAACATAAATGGGTGTCCCAGTACCATGAGAATCATGCTACAATGTCATGATAAATATGGAAAATGATAATTTACAAGGAAAAGAAGTGCAACCAAATTGGGACCTTCTACTACATCTATTTAAAATAGTAGATTAGTTTCAGATCATGTATGCAAACCTCTTGTAACAGTTCACTTATAAAATTAGACATTCATACTTGCTAGGCTTGAAAATAACCACATTTTGCACTAAAATGTTATTACCGTATATGCCGGCGTATAAGACGACCCGGCGTATAAGACGACCCCCCAACATTTCCACTCAAAATATAGTTTGTTATATACTCGCCCCCTCTTCCGCACGCCTTCCACTTTTG